CTCCCCTCGCCGACCCCCGGCGTGGGGGGGGGGGGAGAAGGGGTTGTGATGGGACAGTCTCTGCTAGTCACATCAGCCCCGACGTGAATGTTTTCCGTCGGACCAGAAGTAACAACGGAACCCCGAAGAGGACTGGCAATGTAAAACACTGTGGGTGCGTCTAGACTGGCAAGGCAATTTCTTTTGCGCAAAAACGTGCCAGCTGTCTCCACTGGCCGCTTGAATTTGCGCAAGAGCACTGACTTTGGAATGTACAAAATCAGTGCTTCTTGCGCAAATACTTTCACGCTCCCGCACAGGGACAAGCCCTCTTGCGCAAGAGGGCCAGTGTAGACAGGCACCTTAATTTTTTGCGCAAGAAAGCCCGATGGCTAAAATGGCGATCGGAGCTTTCTTGCGCAAAAGCGCGTCTAGACTGGGCACGGATGCCCAGTTGAAATCAAAAGGCTCCATTTCCCCAGAGCGACTGGAAACGCTCGGCAGCTCCTCCGGCTTGCAAAAACGGTCACGATTTTCACTTTGGGTGCTGATTCAGGACAAGGAAAAGGCAGAAATCTTGAAATCCCTGCAGGCGGGGGCGGGGAGGGGGAAGCATTTACTGCCCAGTTCAACCAGTATGTGCCGCGGAAGCCTCCCATGTCACTCAGCCAATGCCTTCAATGCTGGTCCACAATCCCCCTGCTCTCCCAGACCCGAGCTCCACCATCACTCAGCCCTGATCTGCAATCCCGTTACCCCACTCCTAGCTTGGTGTGTTCCAATGATTGCTCTGGGAGCCAGGCACGGCCTTTCCGGGGGCGGAGGATATCTGCCCTCTCTCCCTGGCAGAGGAGATATATTGAAAAAGCCTTCTCTTTTTTTGCTGTGATTACAGCCAGTGTCCCATTTTTTCCATCCACAAGCGGAATACATTTTGTTCCACGCACCGAGGCATGTGCAGATGTGCACCACCAGGAGACACACAAACCTGGCTGGGGGCGCTTTGCTACTCAGCTGGGCAGCACTGGCATCTCTCCAGAGTGGCCGCCCAAGCGCTCAGCTTGCAGAGAACACTGGTTCCAGCCCTGCAGCCCTTGGCACCCCTTCACAAGCCCATTGGCCCATACCGCTGCGGAGCTGGCCGGCCTGGGACAGTCAGTGCAATCCGAGAACAAGGGCTGGAAAGAAACCGGCGGGGGCTGGGGAGAGGGGCGTGACGCTCCGTGGCTGCGGGTGGGGGTCGAATTGCTAATACAACGGGGGACCTGCCTTTGTCCCACACTCCCCTGCCCCAGGCCCTAGTGAGGGGGCTGAGAGGGCAGCGGAGCCAGCGGGTGCAGGAAGGGGGGGCCCCTGCAGACAAGAAGGGGGCCAGCAGGTGTCCAGGGGAGCTGCTTCTGGGGCCCCTATGTGCACACACATCCCCCTGCCCCCGCTCCCCGGCCCTAGGACTTGAACAGGTCAAGCCAGGGACAAGGGGGGGAGCAGAAATGGGGTTTGCGGCTGGGCCCAGCCCATCTCTATTCGAGGTCAGGATGGGAGCTCGGCAGGAGGCGGGGGCAGGCCTGATGCATGTCCTGTGCGCACACTCACACACACACACTCACACGCACATTCACACACACAAACACAGATGAACACTCACATGCACACTCTCACACACACTCTCACACATGCGTGCACACACAAACAGATGCACACACAGATGCACACTCATGCACACTCACACACACAGGTGCACACACACTCACATGTGCACACACAACGCACCTGCACGTGCTATGCAGCAGATGCACACCCCAGACAAATAGACAGGGGCACCGCCCCACACACATCGAACACACCCTGAGCACAAGCCGCCCTTCCCCGCCCTGGCGATGGAAAAAAAGGAAACACAGATGAACACTCACATGCACATGCACACTCTCACACATGCATACACACACATACTCACACAGATGCACACTCACACGTACACACTCACTCACACACGCGTGCACACACTCACAAACACACAGATGCACACACAGAGACGCACACTCATGCACACACACACACACAGATGCACACACACTCACACGCACACACACAACGCACCTGCACGTGCTATGCAGCAGATGCACACCCCAGACAAATAGACAGGGGCACCGCCCCACACACATCGAACACACCCTGAGCACAAGCCGCCCTTCCCCGCCCTGGCGATGGAAAAAAAGGTCTGTCCCAGCAGGGCCCTGCAGAGATCCAGCAGGGATGGGCGCAGAACAGAGGAGACTGCGTCTCGTTCTGCCCGGCTTCCACCCCGGCCAGGGAAGGGGAGACCCACGGGCGCAGGGAGGGGCGCTGCAAGGTCTCTGGGGGTGGCCCGATGCCACGGCAAAGGGCCCAGTCAGGACCTAGTGCTTAGTGAGAATCAGCTGTGATGAACACAGTGGAAGGAAAGGGCTGCCTAGGGCTGTGCTGGGGAGCTGCCCAGGAGGTGGCAACACAGGGAGAAAAGTGTTTGTGTCTCCCTCTCCCTACACACACGCACACGCTTACTGCCCTTGCACCAGAACACGCACACACTTACTGCTCTTGCACCAGCATGCATACACACGCTTACTGCTCTTGCACCAGAACACGCACACGCTTACTGCTCTTGCACCAGCATGCACACACACTTACTGCCCTTGCACCAGCACGCACACACACACTGCTCTTGCACCAGCATACACACACTTCCATTTGTGAATACATTGAATTCATTTGCACAACGCACACATCGCACCTCTGTGCACGTCCCGGATGATCAAAGACTCCCAGGGTGCACACGATGTGCGGGCATACAACCCCCGTCCCCGTGCTCACGCAGCCAGACGTGCACCGCCACACACACCGCCACAGGCCACGCGCTAAAAGAAAACGACCCCCACCCCGAGGGGCAGAGACCCCCAACAAGGCCGTGCAGGCACGGTGATCTCATGCAAACTAGCAGCTCCAGGATAGTCCCGACAACCTGCATGCACCCAGCGGGTTATTACTGAACACACATCACATAGATACCCCCTGGAATCCCCCCGTCTGTGTTAGCCAACCCACAACCACCCCATCCTCTTGCACCCCCAGAGAATGTGCTGCCTTTTGGGGAACCCCCAAGAGCATCAAGGACCCTCAGCCCGCAGATACAACTAGCAGCTCCAGGATAGTCCCGACAACCTGCATGCACCCAGCGGGTTATTACTGAACACACATCACATAGATACCCCCTGGAATCCCCCCGTCTGTGTTAGCCAACCCACAACCACCCCATCCTCTTGCACCCCCAGAGAATGTGCTGCCTTTTGGGGAACCCCCAAGAGCATCAAGGACCCTCAGCCCGCAGATACCCCCCCGCTTTCTCCCTCACCCCAGCAGAGGCTCCCCTACCCCCCCCTATCCCACCCGCGATCCCCCCCTGCCCCC